GAGAGAGACCTTTACATGCAATGAATTCTGGGATGTTGCAGATTTAAAACAGTGACCCGGAGTGGTAAATTAACACAGAAGACTGAATCTGATATGAATGTTAACTTTATTTGAATGTCACACACAAAAAATTAACAAAACAAAATTCGAAAAAAACTTTTTCACAAACTTTTTCTCCACCGACATCTCAAAACCTCTTGAGAAGGCCATTTCTGTTAAACTGTCGATAAAGCATGTAGCATCCATTGGTACCTGTTTGGGCACACGTTGCGAATCCACAACATTGAAATCGAGGTGCCTCTGGTGAAAAACCCAGAGGAGATCAAATTTACTAATTGGCATGTGTCCTATCTAGACACATTCATGATTCATCTTATGTAGTATTGATTTCAAAATAATGGGAATTGGTAGTGATACTTAGATGAAATTGGTGCTTAGAACATCTGTTTCAGTGACACCAATGACTCAGCCATGTTGAAAGTGAGTCAGCAGTGCTTTCTGGTGAGCTGGAGAGAAACTGTTTGTTGCAAATGCACAACTAAGTCCTTCTGTTGTATTTCTGAGTGACAAAAGCTCTTAAAATATGGATGTGGAGTAATTAGCTTAGTGGCATTTAGCTGTTGCAAATCTGCAACATCTGCCTGGAGAGGGTTAATGTCTTCAAGCAGACCATCTGACATTATGAAACTTATCCAATTTCACAAAGGAGATCCCATTTTCTTCATCCAGCTTCTTCAGTGCAGCATTTTTTTTTTTGCACTTACTTTTTGTAAGTAAAACTGCAGCAGCTTGAATACGGTGGGATTAAATGACTCACAGTAAGGAACGGTGCGACCAGCCGTTAGTAGCGACTATCAACCTTGGTATTAACGGGCTTACAAAATGATTTCCAGACCGGGAGATAAGTTATGGCCGTTCCCATTTATTGAAGTCAGTTTGTAAATGAACAAACAATCCGGGTGGAGGTCTTGTAAACAAGTAGGATGGACAGGTAATTATGGAGATTGTGGATATGACAGAACTTAAGCAGTGGACGAAGTGCTAAAGAAAGCGCTAAAACTGTATGACCTCCCGTCACCCAAACCCTTTCTGCCTTCTCACCTTTATAGCTCTCCCCTCCACGCCGCCACCAGTGGCAGAGCAAAACACAGGTCAGTGAGCCAACCTAAACAAAACACCACCACCCAAATAAACCAGAAACAGACCATACCTAAACACCAACAACTATAAATGGCTCCTACAGCCGTTTTTACGCCATTCTCCAGGGTGCGCGCGGTGCATAAAATGTGAACAGGGTAGTCTCCAACTGCAGCAAGTTGCCTGAGCTTTAGGAAGTTAAATAATCACAGTAGCCAAAGGATTTTAACACTTATGTTTCTCTTCAGTAAAAACAGTATACAGAGATTACCTGTAGTCAAATTGTGATCGCATATTTTAAAGCTACAGTGTGTAATTTTCAGCGACATCTAACGTCCAGACTGCAGACC